GGGTTCCTCTTATGCCATATTTATCTAATTTTTTCAGCCGAGTAGAGTGGGAGATGCAATCGAATGCGTTTGTTAGATCACATAAAACAGCAATAGTGTGTTCTCCTTTTTCAAAGCAAGTTATTATGTTTTCGATTACTTTCTTTACCGCACTCATTGTGGAGGATGATTTCCTAAAATCCGTATTGATTAGTGTTGAAGCTTGTACTTATGAAAATACTCATAAAGCCTATTTTTCAAGATGATTTAAAATAATTTGCTGCCGTCCTTAAAGATTGGGACAACTCGGGTCAACTTGAATTCACATGGAAATATACTTTTTTTGATACACGCGTTAAAGAGTATTCCAAACGGTTCAATTAGATACGAGGCCGCTTCTTTGACAATTCTACTATTGAGTTCGTATGCATCAAACGAGTTTCAATTTGTCAGATCAGATATTGCCTCAGCAACTTTACTGTCCAAAATGGGTTCCATGAAAAAGAATCTTGGTGTATTTGGTTTGTCCGTTATTGATAGAGGAATATAACGGGAATTTGAGGGTGACAGATCCAAACAAACAAAATATGTATTGAAGTCATTCGCAGTGAACTTACTTTCACGATGTTTAATACCATCTCCATTTTTTTCAAAGTTGATAAGTCTCCAAATGTCTCTAACTTCATTTTCCGAATTTAAAATGAAGTCATCATATGAACATCTTTTCGCTGATAGTAGGTATCATATTTTGGTATTGAACGTTCAATGCAAGATGAGCCTATTTGTGTGTCTCATCCTTTGTACAATCAAATATCGTTTTTACAGCTTGAGCTTTATTTTTCATGTTTTTCATTTGGTCATTCATCTACTGGGGAGATTTTTACACTTGCTAGACAAATTCCTGAGAGGGAAGTTTACGTTTATTAATCGTGTATAACAATCAATTAGAAAACCAGTCATATCCTCAATTGAACTTAGCTCATAGAAAATATTCCAATCAACTTCATCAAGAGAATTTTTAAAATTTTTCAAACCATTTTTGGTGATAAATCTTTTACTAAGTATTAATTTATAGTTATTTAACAAACATTTTATTTTTATATATTATAAACATAGGTCGAGAGAGCGTGTTTCATATTAGTCTTTATCGGATATATTAGTAATTATATTATCAATACAACTTTTTGCATAATTATCTACTCTAGTGAAATCAGAAATTGATAAGTAGACGCTGTTGAAAAGTAATTTCCAACCTTGTGGATTCTAGTATGGGAACGTAAATTGTTCAGCTAGAAGATTTGATTTTTTTATGGCTTTTGTTGCAATTGAACCATTCGCTATATTCTTTTTAAAAAACTACAAAAGCAAGCCCTGGATCTGCTCTACCCAAATTAAAGATGCGATAACAATGAGTTACATTCAGAGGTGAAGAGTTTGAAACTCTGAATTCAGGTAATTTACTGAATGATCAATCAGAATTGAACAACTTATAACCTACCTTAGTATTTATGTAATTACCAATAGGTAGTTCGGCCCAGGCTAGTCGATTATTGTCGGGGCTGGACGTGGGTAAGGAAAATATGTTTTTTTTACAGTCAAAGTAGATGAAAAAAAGTAAGCCCTGGGGCGCCAGTTGAACGGATTCAACAATTTTTGTAATACACTGTTATTTTGAATTTGATCTTAAAATATGAATGACGAATAAACGAAAGTAAGGAAAATCAGAGTTTTCATTGATCTTGTTTGGGAACCTTCAGCAATTCGAAAAAATATGAAAATTGTAATGCAGAAATTCATGCACATGTATAAAAGGCAAACTTTTCAGTTCATCTCAATGAGTTACTGCATAAATTCAAAGTACTTTTCACCAAGAAAAGTGTTCTATTCATCATTTACTTACGTATTCAATAACTTTGGCTATTAAAACAAATCTGGGAAATTATACAGAAACTTATCTCAACGTTTTGGATGCTAGAATATGTCTCCGTCTTCAGTATTATAGGAACCTTATTATAATAGCAGTTTTTTCTTCACTTCATTTTTAAACTGTTTACACAGATACCTACCAGAGGAATTTTTGGAATATTTCGGAATATTTCAAGGAAAGAAAAACAGCAATTAATTTCAAATAGAACTACACTAAGATTTGTAGATCACGCAGATAAGTAATTTTCAGACTCAAACCGGACAAAAAGCCTTGTAGAAAGAAATTATTTCCTAATTTCATATGAACTTCGAAATACTTTCGAAACTACTTCTATGATTACATTGAATCATAATTCATTGGAAAAAAGTGTTTTTTTATATATTTCAATGTACAGTGTCTTTTCTAGTTTGTACCTGACAGTTACTTCTCTGAATGATGTATACATCTCCATGAAGAGTTAATTTTGAATTTTCAAAAAGTCGGTGTGCTTTCTGTTCGCTGAAATCTCTACTTTCTGTTAATGTAAAAAAATATGCATTACCATAGTAAATGTTCGCAGAAAATGCAAAAAATCGAAAAAAAATCGAATTCGATCTTTTTTAAATGATTATGTACAACTTCATAAAAAAAATGTGATTGCTGCAATTTTATCCAGTTTAAAAGTTCATGTAAATCGAATTATTGAATTTAGATACTTCATTAATTTTGAAGTTTTATGAAAAAATTATGCATACAAAAGTTGCAGATCTTTTTACTACTTATAACTTGGCCATTTAACATTTTTCCATTGGATTTGTAATTTTGCCGTTAATCGAGGTAAACCATTTTTTACACTTATAAACTCACCCCCTCCCACTTCTCGAAGTCAGATAGCCCGTATTCTATTTTTTCTTTCATTTTGATCATATTCCCCTCCTTTTCTAATGGGTTTCATCCTACTTTTTTCACTTTTTACCATTTTTGAAGGCTTCAGCCCTGGTGTGAAAAACGTTGAATTGCTCGAAAGAGAAACTCTTCATAGAGTGTTAATTTTTTGAAACTGATTACTTTTTTCCTTCCTTCAGAAGATTCGCACATAAGATGGTTCTGTACCATGAGAATACCAGAAGAAGAATAACATATTTTTTAAGGGCATGTGATCATTGGAAAAAGAGAACGTCATCACTAGAGGGTGTGGTAATGATGCCAATTATAAAAATTATTTGTATCTGATGAAAAAGTTAATATTAAAAGTTACTGAATTTGAAAAACATCACCATCATTATGTGATACTGTCTGAAGAAAATGTGTGTTCAGTTCAAGAATTTCTGTCTGATAACAGAAGAAAAAAGAATTTCACCAGAATGCTTCAATTTTTTTGAATCAGTGAACGGTCTGACTGAGAAATAAAATCAATCTCGAAAAAAAACCTCTTTTCAGTGTTATCTTCCTCAGTTAGAATTGTATATGTATATTTATATATACGAAAATGACCAAAACAGATGGTATGAAAAGTAGGGACGAAACAAATTAGGGCCTATATTTTTTCAGGTCATTACCTTCACTGATAAATATGAAATTGCAGGTCCAAAATCGTAATTCGTTTGTTATTAATCAGTGGACTATGCTTGAAGAATGGCAGTAAACAAATCTAAAGAAATGAACTTTAAACGTTAAAGCCAGTCTCGGATATACCTACACAGTAGGTTGAATGGACTGACACCTATCAGAAAACAACTACTCCACTGGCTAATACTACGAAGGGCGTTGGATTACATCCGACAGGCGTCAGTGCATGAATCTTCACAGAAAATTTCCTACAAATGCAATTGGCCTTACAACTGAAAGAGTTGACCTTCAATTTTGAAACGGGCACACTTGCAGACCGGTTTCAGGCTCATTAGCCACTCGTCAGTGCAAGATAGTGGCGATTATCGACCTAAAGTCAATGATATTCCATGATTGAAGATTAGAATTCCTTCAGAGTATTTCATTTCTCTTCCCAAGTTGGAGCGAACAACAAAATATCAAACCATCTAGTGGACGAGGTTTCAATCAACTGCAGTTCGTACAGTTGGTTAGTACCCTCCATGGTATCAGCCAGGGGAGTAGTCGTTTTCTGATAGGCGTCAGTCCATTCAACCTACTGTGTAGGTATATCCGAGACTGGCTTGAACGTTTAAAGCTCATTTCTTCAGATATGTAATTCGTTTGAATATTCTCTACTTTCCTTATGCTTCTACACACTAAATATTTGTTGATGTTACCCAAACCTTTTTAGAAACAAGTCATTTGGATAACTGGATTATTTAATAATTAAATCAGTATGGCGCCAAGGCACTTCTAATAATAATTGAATCAAATAATCATATAAGAAAGTATTCATATTGATCATAAGTTTTTGAAATACCCAGTCATAATAATCATATTCTATTGACTTTCAGGTTCCTTTGATGAAATCCACGCCTACTCCCCAATTTTACGTTGGAGGTGAGTATTTTGAAGCTATATTTTTTTGATGTAGAAACTGGTTTTATTTATTACCACTTTATCAACATAATTCGACATTCAATTTCAATTATTATATTGAGATAACTTTCACACAATATCAATACCTGCGTCATCGAACGAAATAGATATAATGAATTATCAGAAGTGGTTGAATTTATTTGGACTCTGAAATATATTAGCCGATAATACAGGTATTGATGTATAAGAAATGTATTCTCAATATCTTTCAAATCATTTGATAAATAGTAGTGGACCTCATAGTGGCCTGCAAGACCGCCAGACTTCAACCCGGTTGACTATTGATTTTGCGGACCAAGACAAACAACAGAAGCAAAGCACATTATAGTTTTGGTGTGAATGATGCTAAAATTACTCATGACAATAAATGAAAATGTTCACAATGTATTAGGTTTTTACGGAAGATTTATCCGTTTTGATGTCATGTGATTTTTTAGCTCTATATCTCAATATATATTCATTCTACTGTGTCGTGTTACATACTCATCAATAAAGAATTTTGTACTCTATACATCGATGCTGGTAATTTTGTTCCAAATTTTAATTTTTGCCACTTTTTGTTAACAAATTCAAATTGAACCAAAGCTCAACAATCTCGAAAAGAGGAAGTCACACGATTTGAACGATTGACAGAAATTGTCGCGTTACAAGATCTGTTCTACTCTGCTTTTCCGCAATCAAAACGACCCTTTTTGCATCGGATCGTCGAATGTGATGAAAATTGGCACCTCTATGCCAACAGGAGGGGTTCAGGACATTGGTTGGACACCGATGAGCAATCCAGGAACACCCCTAAGCCGAAACTCACCAAAAAGAACATGATTATTATATGGTAGTCAACGGCTGGTGTGATCCACTATATTTTTTTTGCAACCGGGCCAAACCATCAGAGTCCTATTATGAGGAAATCGTTGATATATACCAAAAATTGCGTCATCAGCAGCCTGCAATGGTCAACAAAAGAGGTCCGATTCCGCTACACGAAAACGCCAGTCAGTACGTTTCACAAATCAGCGTCTGAAAATTGAACAAATTGAGCATCAAAGTTCTGCTTCATCCACCATACTCCCCAGACCTATTGCTAACCGACTGCCTTCGTCGACTTCATCAAATCCTGAGCACATAATTTTTATGTTGACGGAATTCATCTACTTGTGTTACGTTGGCAAAAGTACACTCATTATTTGTGCTTATTTCCATTGAATTGAAGGAGCAGTCACTGAGATTACAGTTCAAAGTAGACTCATGAGAACGGACAAAACTTTTGAATAGAATAGAATTTATTTCCAATACGCGTTCCATAATAACAGTAACTTCCTCAGTTGAACTTACTCTACTTTATAATGTGCAATATATGCGAATTACTGACTTGAATAATAGAGATTTATAATTGGTAAACAGGTAGTTAGTTACGAAGACAAGTTGTCAGCAGGTTAGGTTAGGTCCAAAGTGAATGGGTCTATTCGACCCTCCACCGCAACCCGCAAGGATTTATTGTGGCTCACACCTATTCACCCTCGATCAAATGAACCCAGCTTCTTAACGAATACTATTAGTTTGTATGGTGAGTAGTCTTTCAGGTCAGATGGTAAAAGTACGGCTCTGCCGATCTTCAAAAACCTGATTCGGTCCCCAGCGGGGCAGACACAAGGAATGTGCTTTGCTGTTTTCAAACAGAGGCGACACACACTGTCTTTCGACAGTCCGAGATTCTGCATATGACGATTCAAATGACAGTGACCTGCAAACGCCTGTTTGACATCGAAGTTCATCCCTACTGTAGTCCAACAACTGTTTGGTATCAAGCTTCGAAGGGTGAGTAAACACCTTGGAGTGAGCCAATCCTGGAAGATTCTGCCAGAAGTCCATAAATCTTCTTGCCGTCCAGGTGTTCAATCTTTATTCGGCAAAGCCTAAAGCTATGCCAATAACAGGTTCTGGTCGTACGAGAGTCAGCAGCCTCATTACTTTCCAGGCCACAAAGACAATTTGTTAAGTCTTTCTATTGAGGAAAGTCGATTTTGGCAATTGGCTACCAATTTAGACGTTGCTCGGTAGGAGCCAAGAGCTTCCAATGCCTTTTGACTGTCCGAGAATATTTTTATTGACTTGTGTATGAGGTTAGTAGGTTGTGTGCTATTGTTCCGTCTCTGTGGAGTGATCATTACTTTTTTTCCCGAAGAGTAAGCTGATTGGTCGCTTTCCCTGAAGCTCTGACACAGTCTGGAGGGCGCGCCAGCATTATCGACTAACACAGAAGGCTAAGTGATCATTGGTACGAGAATCATGTGCCTTGATCAAGCAGTGAGCCAGGAATGATAACCTCGTATTTTTGTCTGACTAAGATTCCTGCCTAAGTGCAGCAAGCCGGTATTATCTTGTGGTTTAAAAGAACGAAAGGGAATAATCAGAACAACCATCTTGACAAAGTGGTCTGGATAAGTTCTGCGGAGTTCGAAGAGAAAATATTGATATTTTATCAGTTTTTTCTCTTCTTTTCAGACGATATTCGTCTCGCCATGAGCTGAAAACTCTACAACAAATATCGTCTTGCTCTGGTGGTCGAGAAAGACTGCATGAGGCTCGTTACCTTGTGTGAGCCTAAGGGAGGTGAATGAACAGTTCTAATAAATTATCCTTATTATTTTTTTACTATTACCATTGTATCGGATGTTGAATGTGTCCTGATGAATTTATATTACGCATATTTTTTTCAGGATCTTCTGAGATAGATGTTGTCTTCCCTGAGGAAGACGAATCGAGTGTTATCCTTCCTAAAATAGATGGTATCCCACCTTGTACAAATGGGTCCACCTTCTGTGAGAACTTCGTCCCGTACCCAAGGGAGAAAGTGAAAGAAATAATGGAGAAGTATAATGTTTTCAAAGAATTTTTTGGGGTGGACGAACCGCCAGAGGAATTTGAGACAAGGGACTACAGTCAAACCCAATTTGTTTGTTCTTCGATGAAATATACGGTATTTCCGGTTCTAGCAAAAAACACGAGAAGCGAATTCAAATTCATTGTAAATAATAAAGAGGAAGGATATGCACAGGGTGTGCAAGTTGAAATCTGCAGCAGGTGAGTTCAAATCAAAAAAAGTTCAGTATGTAATTCGAAAGTCAACTTATTACAACTAATTTAAACTTTTAAAATAAGTATTGTAATCGAGTGGAATACTAACACTTCGATGCTTATTTGAATATCCCAAATTATTCTTACAGTCTTCCCCTAACATATCCGTCTTGAAACTCGATGCACCCATATTTACAGTCAAGTTGAACATTCCAGTGTACGAGTGAACTTTAGTATATTTTTACGACATCTTCGGGACATTCGGGATAAACAAATGTACCAGTCCTTCTCAAAACAGGACGATGCGAAAACTACGAAGAAGATTTGCAGGTCTTATATCAATAGTCATACACTGTGTCCGTAAAGTATGGAACAAATTCATTTTTAGCTAAACAGGTCATTTTAAGAAATAATCCTGAAACAAGTCGATTTTTGATGTTAATTTACCGTATTTTAAAATAATAATCTAATATACAGGGTGAATTACGTTCGAGTAATGACGTCACCGTCATTTTTTTTAAATGGAACACCCCCATTTTGTCTCNTGGGCAAAGGTCCATCTCAAAAGAGGATGATGCGGGGACTACCGAGAGGATTTGCAGCTCTTATATTCATAGTCATATATAGCCATATCTACAGTCAAGATGAACATTCCAGTGTACGAGTAAACGTTAGTATATTTTCACGACATATCCGGGACATTCGGGATAAACAAATGTGCCACAGTCCTACTCAAAACAGATGCGGGGACTACGAAGATGATTTGCAGCTCATATTGATAGTCAAATATAGTCATATCCATAGTCAAGATGAACATTCTAGTATACGAGTGAAGGTTGGTGTATTTTCACGACATCTCCGGGACATTCTGGATAAACGAATGTGCAACGGTCCATCCCAAAAGAGGACGTCGCGGGGACTACCGAGAGGATTTGCAGCTCTTATATTCATGGTCATATATAGTCATACCTATAGTCAAAGTTCAAATTCCAGTATATGAGTGAGCGTTAGTGTATTTTCACATCTCTTGGGCATTCGGGATAAACAAATGTGCAACGGTTCATCTCAAAAGAGAACGATGCGGGGACTACGAAGATAATTTGCAGCTCTTATTATCAATAGTCATATATAGACTAATTTATAGTCAAGATGAACATTCCAGTATATGAAAGAACGTTAATCAACATCTCCGGGACATTTGGGATGATCAAATGGGCAAAGGTCCATCTCAAAAGAGGATGATGCGGGGACTACCGAGAGGATTTGCAGCTCTTATATTCATAGTCATATATAGCCATATCTACAGTCAAGATGAACATTCCAGTGTACGAGTAAACGTTAGTATATTTTCACGACATATCCGGGACATTCGGGATAAACAAATGTGCCACAGTCCTTCTCAAAATAGGACGATGCGGGGACTACGAAGAGGATTTGCAGCTCATATTGATAGTCAAATATAGTCATATCCATAGTCAAGATGAACATTCCAGTGTACGAGTAAACGTTAGTATATTTTCACGACATATCCGGGACATTCGGGATAAACAAATGTGCCACAGTCCTACTCAAAACAGATGCGGGGACTACGAAGATGATTTGCAGCTCATATTGATAGTCAAATATAGTCATATCCATAGTCAAGATGAACATTCTAGTATACGAGTGAAGGTTGGTGTATTTTCACGACATCTCCGGGACATTCTGGATAAACGAATGTGCAACGGTCCATCCCAAAAGAGGACGTCGCGGGGACTACCGAGAGGATTTGCAGCTCTTATATTCATGGTCATATATAGTCATACCTATAGTCAAAGTTCAAATTCCAGTATATGAGTGAGCGTTAGTGTATTTTCACATCTCTTGGGCATTCGGGATAAACAAATGTGCAACGGTTCATCTCAAAAGAGAACGATGCGGGGACTACGAAGATAATTTGCAGCTCTTATTATCAATAGTCATATATAGACTAATTTATAGTCAAGATGAACATTCCAGTATATGAAAGAACGTTAATCAACATCTCCGGGACATTTGGGATGATCAAATGGGCAAAGGTCCATCTCAAAAGAGGATGATGCGGGGACTACCGAGAGGATTTGCAGCTCTTATATTCATAGTCATATATAGCCATATCTACAGTCAAGATGAACATTCCAGTGTACGAGTAAACGTTAGTATATTTTCACGACATATCCGGGACATTCGGGATAAACAAATGTGCCACAGTCCTTCTCAAAATAGGACGATGCNGTAGCACCTACACCAAACACCCTGTATATTTAAAAATTATATCAAAATATAGCTCTCATAAACTCCTAAAACTTTTGTATGAAACATTTTTGTGTATCTCCTTCAACAAACCAGATATTGCCTGTCACATAAAATATGGGACACCCGGTATAGCCATATCCATAGTCAAGATGAACATTCTAGTATACGAGTAAAGGTTGTTGTATTTTCACGACATCTTCGGGACATTCGGGATAAATGAATGTGCAAGAGTCCATCCCAAAAGAGGACGTTGCGGGGACTACCGAGAGGATTTGCAGCTCTTATATTCATAGTCATATATAGTGATACCTATAGTCAAGGTTTAAATTCCAGTATATGAGTGAACATCTGCATAGAAACCCCGCCATCGTCCCTCACCAACAGCCCACCATCATCCCCAGCACCATCTGAAATTATAAATTCTAGTGACCAAGAAGCTCTTCAGTCAGTCGTTGCTGAGACTTCAACATATAATTTTCGTCATCACAGTCAACGCACATACCACTGATGATGTCTGCGGTAGTAGCGGAAAAATTGTTTTTGGTACTTCAGGTTCCATTCTACCATAGCTTACCAGTCCGGATTTCGTTCAATTTGGTTATATTTTATTGTTTATGAGTGATGCGTTGTGTTTCTTTGCCTTCTGTGTAGATTTTATGTGTAGTATTTACGGATATTTAAAAGAAATCGGGACGTCACATAGCACCCATACAAGGTTGAATCACCTTATATCACCACGGCGATACCTCTAAAAAGGTTCCTTCAAGTGCAAGGCCTGGGTTAGGGGTGGTTGTTTCAGATTTGTTTGAAATTTTTAGAAAAAAATCATTGTGAACACAATCATCATTCATCATTGAACACAATATGAAGAAACTTCTGGAAGACTGTTCTCTCCTAAA